TGCGCCTGGATGACTTCTGGTCCCTCAAACTGTGTCGGCCCTCCAAGGAGTACCTGCTGCGCCACTGCAGATACCTCATCAGGAAATACAGGTCTGCAGATTTTCCTGTCTCACTCTGTCTCCTGTTATGTCCAGGTCAATGATAAGACAGCAGGTACAAAGTCCTGACTTTAGATTTCTCTGTCATCTAAAGTCAGGACTTTGTTTTAAAACTAGAGAACAGTAAATTGTGGGAAATAATTTACAGGTACAGGGAACCGTAAAGTTGTAGCATGTTGCCATCTAGTGGTTGTAATCTGTAACAGCGGTCTGTCATTGTTTACCCACTGTGTGATAGGTTTGAGGAGAAAGCCCAGTCAGAGCCACTGAATGCTCTGAAGTACCTTCAGAACGACCTGTCGCTAACCGTGGACCACACTGACCCCGATGAGACCAAAGAGGTACTGCAGCGTTCACACACACACACACACACACACGCGCACACACACACACACACACACACACACACACACACACACACACACACACACACACACACACACACACACACACACACACACACACACACACACACATGCACACCTTAACTCGTCAAAGACCAAAACTAACTGGACTGAATGTTAACCTGCATGTTCAGCTGAGAGTAGAGCTGAAAGTTTGACGTCACTTAAAGTACATTTTATAAAATTAGACTGAATAGAGCTGTCCCTATGGATTGGGAACATTGTCACCAATTTGTGTATAGAATCTTTTCATTTTTATTTTCAATATGAAGATCGATATGGATGTTAATATTAGATTGATGCATTTCTACTTTGAAACTACGGAAGCTAAAGGTTTCCATTGATGAAAAACGATCCACAGTTTCCTTGAATTCAATCTTCGGAAACCAAACAAAATTGATTAGTGGATGAAATGGATCTGCTGCCCAGCCGTAGGTGAGAGTAGGGCTGTTTGACTCTTCTGTTCTCCTGAATGTCGGTGACCCAGGTGTTTGTGTTGCGTTTCAGTTCCAGCTCCTACCAACTGCTCTCTTCAAGTCCAGTTCTGATTTCATCCCTCTAGGTAAGACCCTAATCACTCTGAATGTGTTGGATGAAGATACTGGATAGGTTGAGTCTGCTTGACTTCAGGTGGCGACAAAACTTTACCCCATAAACCGTAAACATCAAGAGGAAGTCATGTTTATCAGATTTAGGCTGGAGATAAACACCCTTCATTTTGCATGTGGGACTGATTAAGAGTTCACTGTTTTACTTTAAATGAGCAGTAAGTGTTAGTGCAGAGTGACCCTCAGGCAGCAGCCTGAACCTGACCTGGGGTCAGTCCTCACCGACCTCTGCTCCCTCCTCCTCTCAGGCTTCTCTGACGTAGACCAGACGTACGCTCAGCGAACGCAGCTCTTTGACACGCTCGTCAACTTCTTCCCCGACAGCATGACGCCCCCGAAGGGCAACCTGGTGGACCTGATCACCCTCTAGCATCCTGCTCCCTTCACACCTGGCTGAACACACACCTGTGCACACACACACCTAAACACACCACACTGGCCAGCTGACTCCACTTTGTCCACCTCCACTAAACTGACCTGTATTCTACAGGCTTTGTCACCATGGCGATGAGGGTATTAAAACACAGCACCATGTGCTCGATAGACACGAGTGAGATTTCCTAAAAGCCTTTGGTGCTTTTTATTTTTTTGGTGTTTTTCTTTAGTTGTGAGATGAGAACTCAAAGCTCTAAAAGGTTTTAATTTGAAAAAAAAAAAAAAGATTGTTGCACCTCTGCTTTGCTTTTCACACTCATGCATTCAATGAGTCCTTTTAAGGCCAGTGGATTTTTCTTTTTCTTTAAAGTTGGCCGAGTTTCCCAGCTCATCTGTTCTTCAGGCTTTTCCAGAACGTCTCTCCTGGGAAACGTTCAGGTTCATCATCTGGCTTCTCCGCTGCTTTCGTTTTTGAAGAGCTGCTCGGCTTTCTTTGGAGCACACAACTTTTTTCTGGACGACATGCAGCCGCTCCAACCACAAACAAAATGTCGTTTTACAATTTTAGTAGTTTTAGTGAGTGCAATGAGGGGGGAAAAAAAGAAGAAAAAGAATATATATGTAAGTCAGGATATCTAAAAGTCCTTTTGAGTCTGACTAATACAAGTTTAAACACTTTAAGTAAATTGATTCTAATTGCTGAAATTATGTACAAAATATGTAAATATATATACAGAATATTTTCCTGGATTGGATGCATTTCTGCTGGAATGTTTCCCACCTTACCAAAATGTTCTGAGTTTACACATAGATGCTCATTAGTTCCTGTTTCACATATTAAGCATAAGGGGAAAAAAATCTGTGATTGTGCTTTAAGAACCTCGATTATTGTTACGAATGATCTTCCATAGGTTTTCCTTAAAGTCCCTCGTCTGAGTGCAGAATACCCACAAATGATTTGTTTTTTCACACTCAGGTGAATCACATCTACAACAAATATATACCCACAACCTGAAAATATCACTTTTTTCCCTCCATAAAATACATCCACACTGAAAACCATTTTCAGTCTAAATAACACATCAAACACAGTATGGATATTGGTTTGCTTTTAAACCTTTTATATTCTGGTTGACACAAAGCTGCCGCCTCTGATGGACTCCGCAGCACCTTTCCTCTTACGTTAGTATTTCCTTTAAAAAATAAAAAGATTAGACTCGGCAGGATCTCGTGCGATACATCAAATCATTGGCCATATCATTATTTGCTTTATGAAGAACAATCTTCCTCCCTATTTAAGTAAATGTCCATTAAAGGTGTCAGATTTTAACACAAAGCAGTAAAGAATGTATTAGTGGATCAATTTCAGGGAAGTTTTTATTTACAATATTTTCCTTAAACTAAACATTGTTAAAGCTGTTCCCTGCTGTTTACTGCAGCTGGAGCATAAATATGTAAATTTATTAAGACTTTGGTTTAAAACCTAAACAACTGAATGATAGTCTAAAACGTTGTGTTAGTGTTCCAGTTTTAGAGCTAAATCCATTGACATGTTGAGGTGGATGGTCAACAGCACGGTTGTTTAAAACTCCAAACCGGACCAGAACCGGTATGGGCCGGAGTGAGTCTGCCTCACTCCTCCTCTTTGTTAAATGTAGGTCGATCTGCCTGGCAGTCGTAGATTCCTAACCTTTGATCTTCTAAACACCTCAGGTTTTTTTATTTTTTACTCATCAGCTGGTGTTTTTAAGTTCCACTTAAAGAAACATGAATCAGAGATCAGATCATTTTAAAGAGTTGATTAAGTGCTGATATGAAGGCGTGGTTGCTGGGGTACATACTGGCTAAATAAAATGTCTCCCTCCACTATTAGATAGTTTAAATCTGTACATTCTATTTTACATACAGATTATTAGTGGACTACAGCTCAGTATGGGGTGATTCTAATATTTTTGATTGCTGCTTGTTTTAACCTATCGGTCATAAAATATAGATTTTGATCAAGCTAAATATTCATGCATGTCCCACCAGACATTCCTTACTGGTGTCAGTTTAGGACTTTAGGAACAGTAACAATTGGCCTTTACTGCAAGATGACAGAAACTTTTTGAGTCTCACCAGTTGAGTGGCTCCCAAATGCAAATCACTGATGACTGCAAACCAAACCAAACGTTGCTTGAATTCTGCAGGGAGGCGAGCGCCACAGCTCGCTAAAAACCTGCAACTGGGTGGGATTCTCCTTTTGGAAAACAGTCCTGGTGTTTTTAGGAAGAATTTGCCAAACTAAGTGATAAAATTTGTTATGTTTGCAGTCCTTGAGCACAGAGATAAAAACCACTGTCCCCCATCACACGTGTGGTTGTGGAAGCTTTCATATGTAGCATACGAATATTAAGAGTTTTGTTTACGAAACTGATATTTGGAAATCACTAAATGTTATCCAGCTATTCTTTTACCAAAGGACACCATTAGCAAAACGCACTGAAAGCATAGAAGATGATAAACAACCATGTTATCAAATGACTTCAGCCTCATAAGCTCACTTCCTCTTCCTCTTCCTCTTGTTTCTCTTGGATTGAGTGGAAGTAGCGGGAGGATATCGCTGGCTGCTTTCTGGCAGGAGCATCACCTGCTTGAATAACCGCCAACAGACGAAGCTTTCTGAACTCTTAACGCGGCTGACATTTTAAGCCTTAGCAGAGAGGAGAGCGATGAATCTGGAATTTCATTTATTTTAGTAGAGTGATACATGTCAATGAATTCAGTTTTTTTATTTATTCGGTAATTAAGTGTAAGAAGATACTTTTATTGGATTTGTTGCACCCTGACTGATGCTTTTCTGCTACTTTTGATCATTTTTGCCTTAAATATGGATTAAAAGAGACATAATCATTATAGTAAAAATACTATATCAATTTTTGGTGAAATCCACATTTTTTCTTTTAAATGCACTTATACTAGATGATGATGAAGGGTGGTGGCATGTGTGTTTTCCCCCCATGTTGCTTCTATACAGAATGAATTCATGGGGTAAAAGAATACTTAAGGAAGCAATTATAGGATTATTGAAAGTATTCTGATAATGTTTCATTCTCTCCACTTTACTGGAGCATTTCAGTTTTTTACCAGAAGAAGGCTTTGTTTAAGAAAGCTTCATTCTGAACACCTTAATTTACCAAACAATGCCAAACGCTTGTTTTCTTTTGGATATGTGTTGGGGAAATGGTCCCACAACCTTTGCTGTGTCATAACTTATTACCATATATGGTCGTTGCCCGTCTCCGGAGCCCGCTGTGGGTCTGAGGAAGTGTAAGGCCGGTACTCTCTGATCCACACACACCACTCTGTGCACACACAGAATGTGTAGAAAGCCTTGTAGTATTGCATTGTATGTAATGTATATAACAAATAAAGATTGTATTTTGTTCAAGTTTTCTCAAGAGCCGTTTCTGTTGGTTATTTTCCACCCCCTGGTGGCTCCGGCGGTGCATTACTTAGGAAGCGCACAAAGAAATAGGAAAAAAAAAGAGAAATTTTTATTGATACAAGAAGACGATGGCAAAAGCCATCAACAATTTACAGTTTCCAGTGTGTCAGACCCCTGTTCGCCTTCAGCAGCAAACAAACCATAAATACATTAAAGAATGCTAACATAGTCTGGTGAAAGTAGCACATCTATAATAAAAGTGAAATTTTACACACAAAAAACAGCAGAATGGGGGCCTTGGACTGAAGATCCCAAAGTGACTGACTTTCCTCTATATATGTAGCTAGAAAGTAAATATAGATTAAGTCCTTGATTGGTTGAAAAAGATCAAAACTGTATAAAAAATAGTTGACTTCTCTGTGTGATCATCTCAAAATAAATGGGATTTGATTTCTTGAATATCAGCAACATCTTTTAAAAAAGAACATGAGTCCTACAGCTATGTACAGGCTTTCTCATATTAGCTTTGAGAGAAAATGGATTCTTTTCTCCAGTGGAGAGGGCAGCAGTTGATTTCTTAATTCTCTCAAATTTCCAGTTTAAATCAACCCAGAAGCTTTTCACTGGAAACTAAATGCTTTTCTATCCACTTGGAGCAATTTGTCTCAAAATTCTGATGGTAGTTCTAAATTCCAAATTTGCAACATGTCACATATTGTCTTTACCAGAACTACACAATCTCAGGAAAGCATTTAATCCCAATGTGGCTGAGAATTCCGACTGGTGGTAATGGTTACAGTCATTCTGTATTTTCCATTACCAAATGCATCCCAACAGTTTGTGATTTTGAACTTTCATTCTATATATTGTGCAGCTTTAGTTATGTTCATGAAGGAGTTCTTCATGCACTTTCTGGACTATCAGAAATGAATTCAATAAGATGGTATTTAGTCAAACCACTGACATTTTAGTAGTTTGTTCGTACATACATTCGTGGATCGTTTCGTCAGGTTGGATGAGTTTATCACATTTCACTTTGTTTTGCATGAAACTCTTATTTGGGTACAGATTCTTGGTAAGTTGGAGCTTTTCTAACATATGCAAATAATTGAATGTGTAATTGATTTTTACTTGTAAATACACAATGAATCTACTGTGACATGGTGTCAGTAGAGTTGTATAAATCTGGCCCTGATTGGACCACTTGGGTCCAGGCTCTGGTGCGTTCTGCTAGCAGTGGAGGTTTTCCGAGAGACACTGCCTGCTCAACAGAACCCTCAGTTTGAACTATCCACTTTATTTAAAGCCCAATTCTCACTACCCGACTTTTTGCCCCGGTTTTGCCCTGATGACAATCTCAGAACGTTCTGCGTTCTGAGTTTGTGACTCTTAAAAGAGAACAGCTCCAGATAGTTAATTAGAGGCTCCATGTTATAACCTGGAAGTCATTTTAGTAGTTCATCATCACTGAGTATCATCTGGACACTTTTGGAACAAAAATCTTTTTCTCTTATGAGCTAAAATAGGTACAGAGGAAGAACAGTTTGAACTAAGAATGGTACCAAGTGGTTCTCCATGAGTGGGTAGGGCAAAATAAGACATCGACATCTGAATACGGCCAGAACCAGTAAAGAAAAGGTCTGGGGCTTCCGCTGCTCTGCCTCCTAACAGGATGTAACCCGGATCACGTCTCAGAAATTTGTGAGGTACAGGGCCATGGATCTACTAGTCCTGACACTGCATCGCCATCACATATCATTTTAGATGTAACACAATTCTTTATTTCTTCAGTCTTGTCTCTTTTTCCATTTTGTTGCTGTAGCACATTCTTGATCACACCACACAGATCATTAGATTCATGACTGAGTGGAGTTGGAAGCTGTTCTAGTTTCCATCTGTAGTATTGGATGAAGTTACGTTGCAGCTTAACAGGATCATTTAAACCCAACAGGAGCTGAAGGTGGCAGGTGCAAAGTAATATTTTACATTTGTATGAGAGTTTGACACGTGTTCTATTTAACCTTGATCCTGTGTGAATAATTGAACAGCTCAGTTGCATCTTTTTTTTACTGGTTAATTCCTCAAGCATGTTTCTGGGAGCTCAGTCTGTCAGTGCGACAAAACGATCCCATCCAAAGCTCCAACTGAAACGATCTGATTGTCAGAGCTCATAATTTTAAACCCTGGAAGTTTCAAATGAATTATCAAATAATCTGACAAAACACATAACACAGGCAAACAGACATTGCAATAGTTGGCAATCGAGCCTCTATTTGTGGCAACTTCCACGTATGAACACCTGCTGCATGAGAGCAGATATTTCATCAAATATATGATGAAATATTCAGTTTTGCCTTAATTGATTGAAAACATAATAAATGAAGAGCTAAAAAGCATAATATTCACATGTGATGTTACCAGTAATCTGTGACTCCTACTGATCTGCCAGGCCTGTAAGGCTGGGCTTCCTCAGACTAGAGGTTAGTACTCAGCTGTATCTGTTCAGCCTTCTCCTGGATCACCAGAATGCTTTAAAGTATCCTGAGATCATCTAAGATAAAACTCTGGACCAGTTGAGGAGCTCAGAGACACGGTTACCCGGCCGGACCGGGAACAGAACCACGTTTCCGGGCTTTTTCATCCCATTGCTTTTCGTAAATCACAGGTGTGGTAAGTGATGGATGCTTATGTGAGTGGGCAGTGGTGGTTTTTGACACGCGGACAAGGCGTGGCTCTTCACCCAGAGCGGCGTGTGACAATGGGCGGCACATGAGCAAGACATTCTAGCTGGTTTTCAAAAAACATTATTGTTTGTCAGAGACTCACTGATATACTGACAGGGAGGGCTGGGAGCGCAGAATGTCAGCAATGGCAGATGTTTGGAAAAATGTGATAGTGATTGATTTGGTGAAGTTTTTCAATTTAATCCAGCGATGTGGTGTGGGAGTGGGTGGAACCCGGGTCCAGCCGCCTCGTCCTCACAGGTGGGTGTCCTCCTCGTCGGGCGCCTCCTCCTTCATCAGGTTGTCGATGGGGACGATCCAGCTGTCGCTGAATTCCCCGTTCAGCGCCATCTTCTTCTCCTGCATCTCTGGCTGCGCCTCCATCACCTCCAGCGTGGGGTTGTCATGGTAACCATTCTCTACCGTGTGCAGCTCTTCAGTCAGGTGCAGCTGCACAGAGGAGAAGACGAAGTCTTTGAGAATGTTTGGGCTTTCGAGTTTGGTTATGGAACTGCCAAGTCGGTCAGTCTGTATGTCTCAAACCTTCTGCTCCAGTTTGAACTTAAACCAGGTTGTTCTTGGATTAATACAACAGTTTCACAACAATCTGATGAAATCTGGATAATTCACTAATTCAGACCAATAGTTTTCATTTCTTCTTAGAAAGTAAATCATTCAAGTAAAGTGAATGTCTGATAAACATGAACCTGACTCATTGGTTACACAACAGTGCAATTTATCCATCCATCCATTTTCTGTACACCCTTGACCCTAGTGGGGTCGGGAGGTGCTGGTGTCCATCTCCAGCAAACAGTCTGTTTAATTACTTTAATTTTGTGAGAAAACCTGTTTCTGATGGAGACAAATGAACATCACCCAAAATATAAAGCAATGTAAAAAGAGTAATAGTTTAAAGGATTGTTTTCTGGTTTTCTAACTCAATCTTTGGTTAATTCTATGTGCATTACTTTTATTAAACTGGTCTTGGTTATGATCTTCTCCACAGATGATCTCAAATCAGGATTTTTAAAAACAGAGCAGAAACATCCTTGGAAATTCAGGTGTGACAGTAGCATCAAAAATGCTAACACTGCAGTTAATGGAGTTGAATGTTTTTTCTCTCTGTCAGCTGAACAGGCGACAGCAGCATGAACATTTAGCGCCTACCTGGTTCTCGTTGTACGGCTTGCGGCGTTGGGACACGCAGACTCCCAGGATGATGATCATGATGAGCAGGGCTCCGCATGAGGCCAGGATGGCTGTCAGGGTTTTGTTGTCTGTTGGTTCCTCCAAATCAACAAAACAAAGGAGGTTAACTTTACGTCTAGCACACAAGCCCTGGAATGCAACACCAACAAAACGATACGTACTTCTTTAGGTTTTTTTTCTGCATTGAGTTTTGAAAGTTGCTCCTGTACTAGATTGACATCGACTGCAAGATGAATTGTCAGGTGTTTGAATAAAAGGTGTTTCGTGTGAGATATGACAGACTAACAGGTGGAGGCTGTTTTACCTTCAATCATCAAACTGCCAATCTTACTCCCGTTGTTCTGCAGAGCAACAATGCAGGTTCCGTTACGCAGGCTGGACATGAAGCTCTTGCACAATTGCAGCAGAGTTTTGTTTTTCGTCGACTGCAAGTGAAAATGCAATGTGTCAGTGAATGAGGCAGAGGCAGGACTCGGCGGTCAGCGGTGGCGGCGGAGGTCAGGTCTTCCTGTGCTGTCATGTTCGGATTGTCTCTGTTAGCGAAAGTCTACTGTTGGTCAGTCAAAGACAAGGCTGGGAATATAAATAAGATGTGGGAACAAAGGAAGCTGGAGACAGGCAGGAAAGGTTTCCACTGAGGTGTTTTTCCACTCTGCTGTTGGAAACCTTGATTCTTTTTATAGCAGACTTCACTGCTTCCCGCTCCAGAGCTAGGATCCTCAGATCCAGGCCTCCGGGGCCAGAGTCCTGCTGGGTCACACACTTGGGTCAAGTAATCAGGTCATTGGCAGAACTGAGCTGCACTGTGGAGGTCAATCAGTCGTCTGATTGAGGCATGTTGAGGACAGCGGCTCTGGAGGCCTGGATTTGACGACCCCCTCTCTATTGGACCAACGTTAACGCTGCAGTTTGTAACGTTTATAAAAAAAATTCCATCTTTTCTAAAAATGTCACCATCAGGCGGCTTTTCACAACCCAAACTCTGAGGCCTTCAGTGAGGTGATCTGACACAACGAAGCCAGAGTTGCAAAAAGTCTCAATTGGGTTCTGAGGTTCATTAGAATGGTTCTGATCAAAGCATGTTTATGTGTTAGAATGGAGCCAGGATTTAAACAGTTATCTTTTCAGGAGATAATGCCATACACAGAAACAAGCCTCTCAGTAGGAACGCCAGTGAACTTCTCTCCCTTGGGCAAAACTCTAATTTAATAAGCAGATAGCAGCAAAAATTGAAGTTTAAGTAGAAAGTCTATGGCCACTCAGGTCTGCTGTTTTACTGTAGTTCTCCTGTATCAAGTCTACAAAAACCAGGGAGACCTAAAAGCGGAGTGGGAAGGGTGTGGGCTGACGGGACAATGGCTCAGGACTGAGTTCACTGCCTCTTTTTTTATTTGCATGAACAGAAACAGTCATAATGCTTTGATTAAGACTTAATGATACAAGTCAAAATGTAAATCTTACCTCTAAATCGCTCACAGAAAACTGCAAGAGAACAAAGATATATGTCAAGCAAATAGTTGATTTTTGTGTTTTGTCAAAACTGCAGCTGATGACGAACTTACCATAAATGTCTCAGTGTTTGTCTCAGTCCCCACAGCCCACATTGTGGCTGTCGTGGTCAGGCTTTTAGTGATGACATGAGAGTCTTTCACAGTCGGAGCTTGGCTGGAGGTGATGCTCCTCTCTGGGACCTGGTTGGAGTTTGAAGGTGTGGTCATAGTCTGTGTGGTGGGACCTTCGATCAGAAAGGACAGTGACCGGTAAAGATTGTATTCTTATGACATGGAGGAAGAGATCAAATGGGATTTCGCCTCCTTGGACTTTCACTAAGAAATGAATGTAAGGGACTGAACCTGAGAGGGGAGTCATGTGAGACAGAATAGAACAATGTAGGTTTTTCAAGAACAAAATGCTCAGATAGTGGTTTTAGTTATCTCTGGAAACAAGATAACTTTTAAGTTACCTTCTGTGGTTTAAGTTTAGGTAAACTTGTTTTACTCATTAAAAGAAAGATAATAATGATATGTAATGTAATTGAGGAAAAGGTGGACATCCAATGCCATATATACATTGTCTACACTCAGATCATGAAACATGGTAGTAGTCACGTCATGCTGTGGGGATGCTGTCCAGCAGGGACAGAAAAGCGATGGAACTAAATACAGAGCTGCAGAGACCCATAGCTCAGGTTTGAGATGACAGAGTAGTTATTGGGTGACAAGTCCAATTTATCTGGCAAATCTGGCAGCAAAAGAAAAGCAGCCATTGAGACCAAACTATAAGATGTCTGCCACGAGTCAAGCAGTTGGACCCAGTAAACTTCCTGAAGAAGAATTTGATTGAAGTAAACTACATGTAGTGGGAAACAAAAAATGCACAAAAAAAGCATCTTTGTGAACATGGTGGTGGTCTTTGTCAGGTGTAGGAAGGTTGTTGAAGAGAAGAAACTGAATACACAGCGATCCTAAACCGTGACGTATCACTCTAGTGAACTTCTCTTCCTGCAATTCCAATCTGACATCTAACATCATTTTTTAACGTCCCTTCCTGTTTTTGCTAATAAACATCTTTGGCTTTACACATCAGAGATGAAATGATGAGGATTAAACTGCAATAGCTAGCAAGATACATACACACCATATAGCTTCTCATGTCACAGTGTTTGGTTCCTCAACCAACAGATCAACCTTATGAGTTGTTCCTTATGAGACATGATGTCATGAAATGAGACATCAACCACTCAGTTGATGTGTGTTTCAGGTGATTGTGAGCAAAAAGCTGCTTTACCTGCATTGCTGCCCTCGTTGCTGCCTGCAGCCGTCGATGTTGCTTGGCTCCTCTGAGTCGTTGCCTCTGCGGCTGCACCAGTTGTAGGAACATCTGATTTGGTTGTCGTTTTCACTGCACTTTCACTTGGTTTGGAGGCCGATGCCGTAGCGCCTCTGCTGGACTCAGTAGATGTAGTCAACACTGTTCTGCTGTCGCTGGCAGGAGACTCATTAGCCGATGCAGAGATGACAGTCGTAGGGGTGGTGGTGACACTGGTGACACTGGTGACACTGGTGGCACTGTTGGCACTGGTGGCAGTGCTGACGGTGGTTGCAGGAGCGATGGCAACAGAAATGGTGGTAGGCATGACTGAGATCTGCGCACCGCTGTTTGACTGTGCTGTAATAGTGGTTATCACAGCCGCAGCAGTAGTGGGAGGTTTGGTGGCGATTGCTGTGGTTTGCGTTGTTCCTGTGGATGGAGCCACGCCTGTTGGCTTGACAGACTGATTACTGGATTCTGATGAGCCTGTGGCACTTGCTGAGCGTACAGTACTTGCTGGCTCACCAGCTGCAGTACTTATTGCTTTCTTTGTTTCAGGTGACTCTGTGGGGGGAGCGTCGCTGCTCTCTGAACAGATACCTGCAAGAAAACAGATAAACTCATTACCAGCTGGAAATACCAGAGTAAGTAGGATATGAAACCAGTGATGAATTTCATATCTGAGGGTCAAGATGGGGAATCAGTAGGACTCTACATCCTTCTGAATGGAAGCTTTGTGCATAACTCTTCCCTTTATGCCTGTTTAAGTTGTCATCATCTGTCAGTGGAAGATGTCTTTGTATGTTGTTAACATAAGAAACGAGGGCTGCAGTGGCGGTACGGGGGCAGCCATGTGAGGAGGCTGTAAAACATCTGTCACAGGTTCGAATCCCAGCCTGGTGACCTTTGCCTGATGACCCTTGCCTCACATCTTCTCCTTTCCTCATCAGCCATCTTCCTGTCTGACAATTGCTAAATAAACAAGAAACTTTCTTGTTCTTGCGGGGTATAAAACTCATCTTGCTTAAAGGAGAGATATTTGCATCTTGTCGTTTGAATGTGATGTTCCTTCTGAATTGACTTCCTCGCTCTGGCAGTCAGATCACACCGAGGTAAACGTAAGAGGTTTGAACAAAACCAGCAAACTTCAAAGTGATAAATGACGACATTTTCATCATGTGGAGCTAATATGATACGCCAGGTACATATTTTGGCATATTTGCCAAATTGTAGTCAGATAGGTTCTAAAATTTGGGCCATTTTAGTCTCAATGAAAAAAAATAAGAAAAGGTTTTATTTTATTTATTACAACAACTTAGTTAAAACTGATATTAAATATCTACAGCAAAATATAATAGAAAAAGACAAACCTTACGATGGCTGCATATTTTTTTACATGACAGACAAAGCTTTCGTCCATTTCATTGCTAGTGATGCTATTAATTAGCTTTGATTACTTTAGCCTGAGTGATCTTCTAATGATTATCATCTTTGCATTCATAAGTGATCTACAGATTTACATTAAGTTTGTTTTAGTCTTATTTTATTGTTTATTTATTCATTGTTGGTTTGATTTTGATCATTGATTGTCATATCAGTAAAAAAAAATAAAAAAGAAAGAAAAATTTCCTTTCCTTTGCAGCTTTTAAATCAGCAAAAAAGAAATGAAAGGTTTGATCTTTCTCTCTCCTCTTACCCCGAACGTTTGACACAAATCTTCTGTTTCACGAAGAACTCGGTTTGATTTTAACGGCCCGGGTTCTCCTCTGGTTGGAACATCAACCTCAGCTCACCACCGTCGTCTGTTTCTCTATTTAGAACAATCAGAGCAGGAAGCTGCAAACAATAAACTCGGAGGAGCCCCACCCACAACCTCAACCTGTTTTTAGTGACCCATGAACAGCCTTCACCCAACGCTGCGGCCAGAAAACAATGTCCTTCCACCGTCTGAGACCCCGAGCTTTCAATGTGTTCATCGTATACTGGCTCAGTCACACTGGAACCTTTCCCCCACCAAAAAAGCAATAAAAAAATAATAATAATGATAATTCAGTAATGCCAGATTATTTATTTGTTGTCTTATTTGCTTGTTTAATCTTACTTAAGAAGAAAGTCCTTTGAAATGAACAGTTTTTAGTGGGAGAACTTTCCACTGCCGTGGATTGTGGTAGTGTTGACTAATGTGCACTGATCTAATCGAATGAAATATGTTGAATTAAACCAAATCAAACCACTGCAGATCACTACAGAAAAACAAACACCCACAGCATTTATCACTTATTAATTAGTTGACTTCTAAAGCCAGCTGATAATGCTGCATTTTATTTCAGGTTATTGAAGTAAAAGGGGTTGTATAGAAATATATGCCATGGTTTTCACATTATTCTTTTGAAAAAAAAAATAAAAAGGTTATATTTTTTTCTTTCACTCTGCAGTCAATCACTTTGTGATCGCAAAACGTTAATTAAAACACATTAAAGGTTGCAATTTAAACAGGACAAACCAAAATAATTAACAAAGAAAGACAATAAAGCAAACATTATGATATCCATGAATTGCATCTCATTTGGATTCAAGATCTGCAGGAAGACATTGTGTTTGGCTCTAGTTGAGACATCAGTTATCAGCTCCAACACGCTTTCTGAGGGAGGGGAGGGGTCAAAGGTCACCACTCAGAAACTCCTTTGATAAATCAAAGTGTTTTCTGTTATCTGACCTTCTGCTCTAAATATTTGAGCTTTGAGTATTTATGAGTCCTAGGAATCATTAGAATGTTTTATTTGTCTTCATAACTCCTGAGGATCTAAAACATGTTTTCACAGCTTCAGCATATGGAAGCGTTTTAGTTTTTGATTTCAACCTGGAAATATGAAACCAGGCCAAGAGTTTAACACAGTTCAGTGTATTTATGCAGAACCACTTCTTGAGAAAAATCATCTCAGGTTATTGAAGGAAGAAAATGCCTTCAGCTGCCAGGGACGAATCATGCTTCCTCACTCACTGTTACAGAAGCTTCAAAAAAAAAAAAAAAATCTGCAACATGCTTTAATTGTAAATGAGCTTTGACTGACCACATTTCATCTGTTTAGGCCTGATTCCTGCCTGAAGAAGAAATCCTTTCAATAGAACCTGCCTAACAACACCAAGCAGACTATAAGATTTCTAAAAGGGGATTCTCAAGCCTTCAGAGAATCAATGCAAATAAGACCCAATGTTGCTGACATGGATTTATCTAAAAATTGTCACAATCCATTTGTAAGATTCCAGAGAACAACAGTGAGAGTCAGAAAAATTTTGAAGAGAAGCAGCTCTTCCAAAATGATGATGGCGGCTCATCTAGAGGAACCCAGAACAGCTTCTGGATCGGCTCAGGAGTCAACTCAGCTCAATGTCCACAATTTGGTTCAGATTTGATGTTCAGAAAACAAAACACAAAATATGAAAATGATTAAAAATATTCCAAACCTCTAACCTGTTAATAAAATTTCACTGTTTCAAATTATTTTAAAATACATGAAAAATTCATCTGTCAGGTTGTTTTTCTGTGCGTTAATATGCGGGATGACCTCTGACCCCAGCTGTCGCTGATGCATCTGTTTTGTTGAGGACGGCAGCATCGACTGATTCTCCTCTTATCAATCCTGCTGCTTTTACCTCACCCTCACATTCCTCATGACACAGCCCCAGGGAAACATATGTACGCACCCGCCCCCCTCCACACACACACACACACACACACACACACACACACACACACACACACACACACACACCCACACACACACAACACACACACACACACACACACACACACACACACACACACACACACACACACACACACACACACACGCACACCGTGGCTACAGAAACACCAATGAACCCAGCTCTGCTTCTCCTGATTTTTTTTAATTATGAACTTTTTCATTGTTCGTGGTTTTATTTGGCAGTAATCTGACAGGAACGGGGGGAAGACACACACCAAAGGAACCGAAGATAGACGTCCATCTCAGGACTTGAGGTCTCAAGCCTCTTTATTCAGGCGCCACTCAAACCAGGGCCACCCGAAATGTCCCTCGATTACAAATCTTGAGAAATTTACGAAGAAAAGTTACCTACTAAGTGAATATGAAATTTTAGGATAAAAAAACATGGACGCTGGGTCTATTGAACATATTTCTGTATTTGGGAAAAACCTGGAGCACCAGGAGAGAAAACCAACAACACACTCATCATAAGACCAGTTAGTGGAGGAAATCTAAGTGTTCATCACCCTGAACACGTCACCCCTTTGAAATGTGGTGCAAGCAGCATCATGCTGTGGGGAAGATTTGAGGAGAAACTGAGAAGACGGTCTGCATAGAAGAGTGGGCAAAAAAATCTGTTTGAAACCTGATGGACGCTCGCAGAACTCCAGAGAACCCTGCAGAACCCCACAGAACCTCACAGAACCCTGCAGAACCCCACAGAACCTCACAGAACCCCACAGAACCCCACAGAACCCTGCAGAACCCCACAGAACCTCACAGAACCCTGCAGAACCCCACAGAACCTCACAGAACACCACAGAACCCTGCAGCCAACACTGTGCCTGCTGAGCATCGACTCGTTGCAATATGTTGATCATGTCATAATGTTGTCATTTTCTTACCACGGTCACATAGCAACCCAATAAAACATGCTGATGCTTCAATGGGACAAAATGTGAAAATGTTCCATTTGCAGGGCAAGAACAGCAAATATCCAGAACAGTCGCTATGTCTTCCTGTTGTATCAGATCCAACCACAGAAAGAAGTTTTATCAAGTGAAATGAAGAACTTAATTATGCATGATTATTAAATCAAACTTTTATCAAACATCATAATCGTGTGCTGCTGCTCGTTCCTGTCAGCTGATTGGCTGTGGGAAGCAGCTTTCTGTCCTTTCTCTGGCTCTTCTCCTGGCTCAGCTCTCTGACAGGAAGCAGCTTGCTTGGTTTGGGATTTTGTTCGACTTCAAACTCTGAATTTTCCATTCCACAATTTCTGCCGGGCTTTCTGAGCATGTGGCCAGAGAGACTTTAAAAAGATGCAGCAAATGCAAACGAGGTGGATCAGCAGAGCTGGAGTCATTCAGGACTTGTTATTATAAAATATCATCTCTGCCCCTGAAGTTGTTAGCATGTAATGACAGCAACTGGGCTGTCAAAGAGCTCAGTCTTTAGTCAGAGGCCAATTCAGAGTCGCTGCAACACTGACTGCTACAGGAGATTCTTCCTGCCCAATGCACCACCACCTACAAAAACTCTTTGAAGGTGGTTGGATGATATGAGTTAAATTTGGCAACATTTATTTTAAAATTGAGTTCAATTGAACTGAACTGAACTGAAGCGGCTTGAATCTTCAGTTCTTGTGAAATCCATGTTGTTCATCCTGTAAATATTACAGTTCACTCACATTGCTCTGTGAGTGAACTGCTCAGTCAGCACTAATGGCAGCACTCTGCAGTCAGCTCTCTGATGTTCTGTTTAGAATCAGGAAGGAGTTTGTTGTAGCTTAAAGCAGATTAATATGTCATGCACTCATAAGTTTTTTTTCTTCTTCAATGTTTGACAGCATCA